AAGGTCGTGGTGGGCGGCAGAGGCACCCGAACGAGCGGCGTGCTGCCGCAGGGCGGCAGGCCTAGCCTACGACAGGTTCCAGGCCCCCCTGCCTCTGGCCAGCCCGCCGCCTCGAGGCGCGCCCCCGCCCCGTACTCACCGTGGGCGCGCGGAGGTCTGCACCGCAGCCGCGCCGCCGCAGGTGCGTGCATCCCTTTGACGCGGTGGCTTTGGGCGGTGGGGTGAGTCGAGGCGGGGTTGGGGGAGTCCGTGCCCGAAACGACCCCAGGGATAAGAAAGTGCGCCTCCAGCTGGGCCCGCTCCGCTCGTGTACCCCGCCAGGGGACTGTGGACCAGGGACGGCTGGCAAGAAGTCCTGTCCAGCGACAACCCCTGGAACAAAAAGCTGAGGGGGCACAACCAGCGGGGGCAGAGCGCCCAAGCAGAATGCTACAAGTTTGGCTGCCACTTCAGACTGTCTTGTCGAGCCTATCCCAGGGCCGCTACAAACTGACTACTGCCCAAGGCCACACGCAGCAGTCAGCCCTGGCCGACTGGGCAGGGGAAGACACGCGGGAAGAACGAAACTGGAAAGAGCTGCGTCGTGTGCGACGCAGTCCGCCTGCCGATCCCGCCGCTCTGAGGCAGACGCGCTGCGCTGCGACGGGACTACCTGGCGACACCCCTGCTGCCTGGACTGGCGGCGACAGTGCCGACTGGGAGGCCCAAAAAACGCAAGACCATGTTGCGTCAGCAAGGGGCTGCCACTCCGGGCGGCCGGCACACAAATGAAACGAAAGCCACCGACAAAGATTTGCGAAGCGCAGGCTGCAAAAACGGCCACTGCGAACAGAGGGGACGCTGCATGAGCTATTTCTCTTGCCGCCCACTCTTCCTGAAAGCGGGGTAACGTGGACAGCTGGCCCCCATGCATGTTACCGCTGTTGTCTCCTTCTCCCTTTTTAGTCTCTCCTCAATTTTTGTCGCTGCCGGCCTGCCAGTGCAGCTTTGGCTCCAACAACGCCCCTGGATCACGCTTGCCCCGCGGGAAAGAAGGGACCGCCCAAGAAGCCATGACGAGCGCACTCCGCCGTGCCATGGGACGCGCACTCCTTCATCGGAGGCGGCCTGGGCGAAACTCCTGCACTTTTCAGTGGCGGGCAACGCGTAGGATCACGTGTTGTTGGAAAGATCCACCCGGTGAAGTTGCACAGAGAAGAATTGGGGGCCCTGACCCTTCAAGACGCGTTGCCAACTGTACCGACGGCCTCGCCTCTCGTGGCTTTGCGGGTCCCGCGGCTTTCGCAGTCACGGGCGCCTCAGGCCACGGACTCGCCCGCCACTGGAGCAGTATGTTGCTGTCGGGCAGACTTCGCAAGGATCGAGCAACAAGTCCAGCAAAAGCGGTAGAAGTGCACCCAAGCTCCTGCAAAGCTTAAGCACTGAGACCTCTGATCCCGTCCGAGCCCTGCCAGGCGCCAGCAGTATCGAGACACGGCCCCTCGGGCCAAGTCTACAAGCACTGGCAGGCGCTTGGACGTGCCGCAGTCCGCGCATTTCACTGCAAGCATGGCGCTGTAAGACGTCGTGAAGCATCACTCTGCGAAATGACGCGATCATCATCATCATCATCATCATCATCATCATCATCATCATCATCATCATCATCATCATCATCATCATCATCATCATCATCATCATCATCATCATCATCATCATCATCATCATCATCATCATCATCATCATCATCATCATCATCATCATCATCATCATCATCATCATCATCATCATCATCATCATCATCATCATCATCATCATCATCATCATCATCATCCATCATCATCATCATCATCATCATCATCAGCATCATCATCATCAGCATCAGCATCATCATCATCATCATCATCATCATCATCATCATCATCATCATCATCATCATCATCACCATCATCATCATCATCATCATCATCATCATCAGCAGCAGCATCATCATCATCATCAGCATCACCATCATCATCATCATCATCATCATCAGAATCATCATCATCATCAGCAGCAGCATCATCACCATCATCAGAATCAGAATCATTATCAGAATCAGTATCATCATCATCATCATCATCATCAGCATCAGCATCAGCATCAGCATCAGCATCAGCATCATCATCATCAGCATCATCATCAGCATCATCAGCAGCATCATCAGCATCGTCACCATCACCATCACCATCATCATCATCATCATCATCATCATCATCATCGCTCATCATCATCATCGTCATCGTCATCATCATCATCATCATCATCAACATCACCATCATCATCATCATCATTATCATCATCATCGTCATCACTATCACCATCATCATCATCATCATCATCATCATCATCATCATCATCGCTCATCATCATCATCGTCATCGTCGTTATCAGCAGCAGCATCATCATCAACATGATCATCATCATCAGCATCATCAGCATCATCATCATCAGCACCATCATCAGCATCAGCATCAGCAGCATCATCATTAGCACTATCACCATCATCATCATCATCATCATCATCATCATCATCGTCATCATCATCATCATCGTCGTCATTATCATCATCAGCAGCAGCATCATGATCACAAGCATCATCATCAGCTGCATCATCATCAGCATCATCAGCATCATCAGCATCATCATCATCAGCATCATCATCACTATCATCATCATCATCATCATCATCATCGACAATATCATCGTCATCACCATCAGCATTATAATCATCACTAGAATCGTAATCATCATCAGCATCAGCATATGCATCATCATCAGCATCCTCATCATCTGCAGCACCATCATCATTATCATCATCATCATCATCATCATCATCATCATCATTGTCATCATCATCGTCATCCTCATCATCACCACCACCATCACCATCATCATCAGCATCATCATCTTTATCAGCATCATCGTCAGCATCATCAGCATCAGCATCAGCATCATTATCATCGTCAGCACCACCATCAACATCATCATCACCATCATCATCACCATCATAATCACAACCACCACTACCACCGCCTTCATCATCATCATCATCATCATCATTATCATCACCATCATAGTCATCATGATCATCATCATGATCGTAATCATCAGCATCATCATCATCAGAAGCAGCAGTATCAGAAACAGCAGCAGCATCTGCAGAAGCAGCAATAGCATCATCAGCGGCAGCAGCATCACAACCATCATTGTCAATATCATCATCATCATCATCATCATCAGCAGCATCATCCTCATCATCAGCAGTATCATCATCATCATCACCATCACCATCATCATCATGATCGTCATCATCGTCTTCATCGTCATCGTCATCGTCATCATGGTCGTCACCGTCATCATCTCGTCAAATTCATCATCGTCATCGTCACCATACTCGTTGTCATCTGTATCACCACCACCATCATTATCATCATCAGCAGCAGCATCGTCATGAGCATCATCATCAACAACATCACCATCCTCGTCCCTCGACCTATTCCTCCATCCCCTGCCTCCTCCCCCACATCCTCCTTTCTCGCCTTTCCTCCTTCCCTTTCTCCCTCCCGGGTCCCAGCCCGCCCACGCCCCTGCCAAGTTCCCCAGCCCTTCCACATCGTCGTCGTCGTCGCCGTCGCGCAGTCCTCGACGCCCGGCCCGCAGGGCGGGCAGCTGCGGGCAGCTGCGCTGGCCCGACCACGCCCCGAAAACGGACATGGCGGGGAGCCGGGCCCTTGCGCGCAGGGAGGGGCCGCGGACGCAGGCCGGAAGGAGGAGGCTGCGGGCGAGGAGGAGACGTTCCAGACCCTCGCCATCGGCGGCACGCCTGGGGGAAGTGAGAAGGAGAAAGGTCTTCTCAGAAGGCTCGGAAGGCCCCACGCCTTCTGCGAGGCTTCCTGAGCCTTCCCCGACATGGAAACCTTCTCACACGGCGCGAGGGCTTCTGAGAAGCCCCGTCGCCTTCTGAGAAGGCCTCCTCCTTCCTACTTCCACCCTCGCTCGCCGCCGGCAGGAGGCTGCGGACGAGGATGAAGGGGCCCTGGGACACACAAATTCGCTGGCCCAACGGGCCAGAGGCGTGCTAAGATCTCCAGTAACTACTTAACAATATTTCTAGTTCGCGCGCGCGGGGCGGCCCCTGGGGGCCCTCGGACGAAAAGTACCCCGGCTGACCCCTGGCCGGGTCCGTCCCGGCCGGGTCCCGGGCGATCCCCAGGGAGGAGGCTATTTTTCGGCACCCCTCACGAGGATCGTGGCCTCCGAGGGGGTGGCTGCAATCGACTACCCCCCCTCCCGCCCCAAGGGGCCCCCAAGAGCCCCCAAGAGGCCCCAGGGGAGCCCCAGACGCCGCCAGGAGTCCCAAGACGCTCCCAAGACAAATAAAAGGATTACCGATATTTCATATATTTTCTAGGGTTTTGTCGTCCCCCCCACTTCCCATATTTTCCCATATTTTCCTGGGAGTGGACGATTAATTGTGTCTGTGTTTTTTCCCCTCCTGAAGCATGGCTCTCTGGGCAGGGCGAGGCCAAAACAAGCATAGACTGCTTGCTTCGTGATGTTCCAACCTACTACTTCACCCTTGACCACCAGAAGGAATTCCGGGCACCCAGAAGGTATCGCAACTGCACGGCTATCACTCGTCGGGCCCTGGAAGGCGCTGCTCGCTCGGCACTCCGCCGGCGCGCCGGGCCGACACCGCCTCGAGACTTCTGGGGCTGCTCGAAGGTATGTTTCTGGGACGTGGTCCACAAGTGCGATTGGAACAACATGAATCGGGGGCGGCCAAGAGGGGGGTGACCAAGAGGGGGGGTGCAAATCATGGCCGGCGACATGTGCGCGGCCCAGCGGGGGGGCCAGGGACTTAATGAAATAAGAAGAGGCGCCATGAAATCTGGGGAAACATCATGACCCCTGCCATGATATCCAACCCCCCCTAGTCATCACCCCCCTCTTTGCCGCCCCCGAGAACAACATGAAATGCTTGCTTCGCTTGCGCCGGGCGCGAGCCGTGCCGCGCAGCTGACGCGAGCACGCGCCGCGCGCGCCTCCTTGACGGGACCTTGCGGACAGACAGGCCGCAGCGGGCGGCGCGAGCCGACGTGGAAGCCACAGGCGCGCACCCCAAGGCCAGCACGGCCACGACAGAACGCAGCTGCGCCGCCACTGCAAGTCTGCTCTGAGATACAGTAGGGGCGCTGACCTGGGGAACCCTAAATGAGGAACGAGGCCCCTTTTTCCCCATTAGTTCAGCTTCGATTTCCCATCGAACACCTCAGGAAAGCCCAAGGCAAACTGTAAAACAACGAAGGAACACGGAGTCCCTCCCCAACGAAAAGGGTTCCTTCGTCAGCGCCCCGACTGCATTGCGTCCTGCCACGAAGAAACACCCGCAGCGCACCCACACCGACGACCCAGGCAAGGCCCAAGCCGACGTGACACCAGTCGCTTGAAATTGGTGGAGCATCCGGCTGCCACCAGGGACGGCAGAACAACCCTCGATTCTGCGTGTGGGCAACTCCACTACGAACACACAAAGAAAGACCAACCCTGGCACAAGAAAGACCCAGTGCAAAAGCGTCCCAGACATCAGGCATCGCAGACTTCACAGCACTTGAAGGGTTTTGCCTAAAATTACGCGCAGACTCTCAGCTGAACAGAGTAGTCCGAATTCAATACCAGGCATATCAGAAAGATCGCGCACGAATCTTCACACACAAGAAATTTCGCAGTATTGCGAACACTGCCCGAAAAGCGGCAAAGGCCTTCCAACGCAGCTGCACGCTTCACGTCGCGCGCGGGACCTGCCGATCTGATCTCACGAGCCTTTCTGCCAACTCCGCCGTTGTTCATGCACGGAGACTGCCAACATAGGTCGCAAGCAACTGCACAGGGCTCAGCAACTGCGTCAGACTCGTAACCACGGCAATAGGCTGTCGACAAGATCCCGCTTGCAAGAATTGTACGACCGCATCGGGCTTGGAACCAACGCGCTGTGACGAGATTGAACGAACATAATGTTGACCTGCTTGTAACTGTACAGGTACGCGCCGCTCACGAGCGACAAACATATCCACATCCATGCACTAGGCTAGGGGCCCTAGCACTCAAGATACCGCGGCACGATCCCATGGATGCGTTGAGCGCGGGCATCCACGCAAGCCAACCTTTTATCCGTGGGGTCGCCGAAGAGTCCGGACCGCAAGGCCGTGGATGCGGCCCTCCGCTCACGAGAAGCACTGATTTCGCTAACACGTGGCTGGGAATAGACTCTGCTAGACAAACGCGCTCCACCACTCGCAGAGCAACTACTCGCAAGTGGCCTGGATCCGCCGCGGGGGACTCACGATCCATTACAAAGGGGCGAACCTGTGTGTGCTCAGACGGTTGCGAGTGGGCACCCTGCGAGCAGTGGAACGCGCTCGGTGATTTGCGGCTCCGTGCCCCCGCCGCACCCGCAGGATCTCTCCGGCCGACCGCCTGCGTTGGGCTCGCCGCGCCCGGCGGCAGACGGCGTGGGCCGGGTCTGCGGGGAGGCAGGCAGGCGGAGACGGCTCCAGAGCCCGACCCTGCTCGCAGGGCGCGCCGCGACGGGCGGGGCGGGCCCCCCGCCCCGACGGGGATGCCGACGCCTGGGCGCGCGCGGCGGCCCTCGCTGCGGCCTGCCATCCTCGCTCTGCCTCGCAGCCCCGCCAGCTGCCTGCCGTTGCCGTCTCAGCCTCTGCGTCTCGGCCACGGGGCTGCCCGCCGCCTGGCCACCGACTGTCACTGCTGCTCCTCCCACAGTCGATCCTCTTGCTCGCCACCTTCCGCACGGCTCTCTGGCTGGCGTCCCGCGTTCCCCACTGCGCCCCACCTGCCCGCCGCCGCACGGCCAGCCGCTGCTGCCCCTCCCCCCCACGCTCCGCCGCAGGCTCCACGGCCAAGGTTCGAACCGTCCCTCCCCCCTCGTGGCCTGCCCCAGCTTGGCACCGTCTGCAGCCACCCCGCTGGTCCCCTCTCGCGGCTGCCTCCCCGGGGGGGCGCCCGGCACGGCGCAGGGTTGCCCGTGGGTGCAGCCCGTGCTCCCCGCCCGGCGCTGCGCGAGGGGCCTTGGCCGCACGCTCGCAGGCCCCTCTGCTGACGGACTCCATTGCGTCACAGCGCGCGCAGGGCCGCCAGGGCCAAGACATGTGCTGGTGTCTGCCGTCTTCACCTCCGTGGGCTTCGCGACCGTGGCGTTCGATCCCGCGTCTGCCACTTTCGCGCGCGTCGGTGGGTTGATTTCACATCGGCACGCGCGGCTTCGAACTGTCCCCAACTGCAGCAACAGGTTTTCTGGTACGCTCTGCTGCCTATGATTGCATATGTTGGTGGACGCGGCAGTGGCAATGGTATGCGTGTTGACTTACCTGTACGAGGGCTCCCGAACGGCATGTCTCGCCTTGAACGGCATGTGCATGCAGAACCAGATGGTGTCTCCCGACGCGCGCGTAACAGACCACTGCCCGTTCCCGATGGGGTGGGGCAGCGCTCCCGGACCTCTGGGGGGATCCCCGGCCATTCCAGGCCACCATCCCGGCCGCGGCAAGAGCGCAATCCGCAGGGCTGCGCGGTGCCGCGAAGCGTGAGGCGCTGTGCGGCCGAAGCCGATGCAGCGCCGCAGGGCAGGCACCTCCGAGGACCAAGCAGGGGGGAGCCGGAGGAGCAGGAGAGGGAGGACGAGCAGCAGCGGGAGGGGCAGGATAGCAGGAGCGGGAGCAGGACGAAGCGGGGAGCAGGAGGGGCGAGACGCTGCCCGCCCCCCTCCTGCACTCCCCCTCCTCGCCTCCCCTTCGCCGCCTCCCTCCCCCTCTTCGCCTCCCCTAATCCTCCTTGCCTCCCCCTCCTCGCCTCCCTCCTCCCCCCCCGTCCCGTCCCGCCCCTCCCGTCCCGTCCCGCCCACCCCATGCCTCCACGTCCCTCTTCCCCCCCGCTGGGGAGAGCGAGCCTTGCGCCAGGCGGCGCGAGAGAGAGGGTGAAACAGGGCGCCGCGCCCGGCCGGGGCGAGAGCTCGAAAATCGATGCCGCGGGCCGCGCGCGCGGAGCTCACCACAGCCCGCGGCGCTCACAGCCGAGCTCCTCCGCAGCCGAGCGCGCCGCCTGGAGGGCACGCACCGTCTGCTCCGCCGAAAAAGGTGCGGCCTGCAGGACGGCGGCGGCGTCCTCAGATCGAACGGCAAGGAGAACGACCGACGCACACATACCTTTTCTGGCAAGTCATGTGAGCCTCCCATGCCATCTCGCTGGCTCTTTCGAGCCAACGATGAACAACGCTAGCCGGCGCCACCCGACGCTAAATTGACGCGAACTGACGCTGAATCGGCGTCTGCCCATCGATCACCAGACGCTAGCGCACGCCCGTGCACCCGGAGACAAAAATTCAAAAGCTCGCAAGGCTCCCATGAGATGCTACCGAACAAACCTGAGGTCCGCGCGTATTTCTGGGATCGGCGCTGGGCCGCGCACTGCGGGCGCCTCCCGCAGTGCGCGCCAGCCAGGGTGGGGGGGGGAGGTCCGGCCCCGACCCAAGAGATCCGCGCGGGCCTCCGAGGGTTTGTGCCCACATCGATTTCGTTTTCCCTTCGAATCCTGCACGTATCGCGCGTCGTGCATGCCGTTGAGGCAGCAGGCCACCGACGGGGCGGACAGCGAGAGCCGCAGGGACAGCTGCTGCAGCGGCAGGGCATCGCCGCCCCCGCCCTCCGCCAGCGCCTCCGAGAGCACCCGCCGCAGCAGCGACTCCACCGCGCCCATGGGCCGCGCGTCCCGCAGCCGCAGGTGCGAGGCGCTGCGCCCCCAGTCCTCGGGGGACGTCGGCCGACCACCTCGCTGGTCCTGGCCGCCTCCTCTGGGCCTCCTGGGCGCCCTGGCCTGGGCCAGACGGCAGGCACGCCGACCAGCGGGCCCGAGATCGGCCACGACTGGCACGCACACGGATCCCTGGCCCAGGGTCGGCGAGGAGGTGGCCCGTCGACGTCCCCTCCCCCCTCCTCCCCGCCCCCTCCGCCCGGGTCCCCCGCGGAGACGCCAGGCATCGGGAGCGCGTTCAGCGGCCTGTTGCTCATGAGGGCCACCTTGAGCCCCGCGGCCGCCGCGCAGTCGCCCCCCGCGGCCTCTGGCACGGCCGCCCCCCGCCCCAGCACGGCCCCGCTCTCGAAGACGTTGAGCGGGAGCTGCGCCAGCCGGAGGCGGTGCCCCGAGCCGCCGCGGCGGCGCGCGGCGCGCGCGGCGGCGTCGACCACGCGGTCGAGGGCCAGCGCCTCATACAGGTTGGGACGGCCCGTCGTGGAGAAGAGGCACGAGAGGAAATTCCCGCTCACCCCGTAGCCGTGACCGATCGCCCCCTCGTCGCAGAGGGCCTCCAAGGCGCCGAAAGCGCGCTCCAGCCTGTCGTACATCTCGTCCCAGGCGTCAGCGATGGGAACCCTCTCGGCTGGGCGATGGGAGGGCGGACGGGGAGACGGGTAGGGGTGCGAGAGGGGGGGGCGGACGAGGAGGGCCAGCGGAAGGATGGGGTAGAACAGCTGCTTTCAGAGTTCGATTGCCCGAGTATACCGCATTCCTGCGCCGCGGGTTGCAGGCCTTGACCTCGCGCAACCGCTTATGACCCTGAAACTTGGAAAATTGACAACTGTTTCACAGATGGAGGGCGGGTGGTTTTAATGATGTGGCTCTCGCCTTAGCGCCGCGCACATTCGTTTAAAAATTTGCAAGAGCTTCACGGAGTGAGGGCGGGCGGTTTTCAACATGTGGCTCTAGCCTTAGCGCCGTGCACATTCGTTTTAAGAACTTGCAAGAGCTCCACGTTTTGAGGGCAGCTGATTTTCAAAATGTGGCTCTCGCCTTAGCGCCGCCCACATTCGTTTAAAACATTGCAAGAGTTTCACGGATTCCCACGGTCAAGTTACCAGAAATTGCCTTCTGGAAGGATTCCGTATTGTGAACGTGCAACAGTTACGTTGATTCGCGGTGTTGAAGTCCCAGGAATGCTGTTCTGGCACGAAACAGGATCGTCAAGACACAACAGTCAAGTTGATCCGTAGCGTTGAAGTCCCGAGAATTGTGTTTTGGTAAGCTTCAGTCTTCAAACGGTTGTCTCCCAGCGAGGCAATTCTCTGTGCAAGTGAACCCTTCTAAGGGCCTATGAAGAGGGAGCTTGGAGAAATGGGTTATTCCAACATCGTTGATGAACCTCGGGGTTACACTTGTCCTTCTCCTTCTCCTCCTCCTCCCTCTTCTCCTCCTTCTCCTCTTCCCTCCTCTTCCTCCTCCTCCTCCTCCTCGTCCTCCTCCTCCTCGTCCTCCGTCCGACAATCGCACTTATGGGCTCCGCCACGTGCCCCGCAGACAAGGGAGTACCCGTTCCTTCGTGGATTGCCGATCCAATCGGGTCCGACTGGACCCGACCCGACACGATGATCAACCTCCTCCTCCTCCTCCTCCTCCTCCTCCTCCTCCTCCTCCTCCTCCTCCTCCTCCTCCTCCTCCTCCTGCTCCTCATCCACCCCCTTCTCCGTCTCCTTCTCCTTCTTCTCATCCTCAAAACCCTTATCAGGATCCTCATCGTCCACATCCTTCTCCTGCCCCCTCCCCCTCCACGTGGAAGCCCCCAGGGCCCCAGAAGCGGAAGCAGTCCTGGGAACAAAGAACTGGAAGTAGAACGGGAAGGAAGGGATGCGGGAGGACGGGAGGGAAGCGGGGAAAGACCGGGAGAGGAAAAGAGAAAGTATGGGAGGGGAGGACGACGGGGAGGACGAGGGAGGGAAGAGGGAGAGGGGGTGATGAGGGGGAAAGGGAAGGAGGAGGGAAGTGGGGAAGGGGGAGATGGAAAGAAAAAGTGGAGGAGAAGGAGGAGGAGGAGAGAGGAGGGGGGGAGAGGAGGGGGGAAAAAAAGATAGCGACGAGGAAGGCGACAAAGAAGGCCTCCCCCGAATTTCCGAAAGCATCCGAGACTCTCCAAAGGTTCCTTCCCCCCCCCTTCGTCCTCTTGACCAGCTGCGCCGAGAGGAAGTACTCCGGGTTATGCAGCAGGACGAAGTCTGGGGGGGTCCCGAGGCGCTCGCCGCTGGCGCGCACCTCCGCCTCCACGAACCCGGGGTCGATCGAGTGCCAATCCTCCCCGTGCACATCGCCCTGCTGCGCGATCACCACCGACTCCGGCGGCGGCTCTGCGCCGCGCTCGACGTGGCCCAGCTTCGTGCAGATCACCACGCCTTCGCGGCACACCTGGCCGGCCTCTGCGGCGTCGGCGAGGACGCGGCGCACCAGGCGCTCGCTCGCGCCGTGCCCGCCACCAGGCTTGCCCCCGCCAGCGGAGTAGTGCGACGAGGTGTCAACGAGGTTCACGCCAGCGCGCAGGGCCGCGGAGAGCGCGCCGTGGTGCGCGGTCTCGTCGCCGCCACCGACGCGGTAGGCCCCGAAGCCGAGCGCGGCGCAAGAGAGGCGAGAGTCCCCGAGGGCGCGCACGTTCGCGGGGTGCAGCGCTCCCCGCTCCACGGCGCGCCTGGCCCATGGGAGGAGGGAGGGGGGGTGAGCGGGACGGGACTTTTGACTCAGCCCTCCGCGAAACAGTCCAATTCTGGAAGGCGGTGGTGTGCACGACGCCGATGCGTGCGCTGACCATAGCAGGCCCAATGGAATAGGCTTGGAAAACAAAGAAACGTGTGAGAAAAAAGGATGTGGACATTCGACCCTCGAGGACCTCGGAAGCCTTCACCCTGGAGAGGACGGAAGTGGGAGAGAGTGGTGGGGAGAAGAGAAGAGCAGCATCTGGAGGAATAGGGAAAAGGGAGGGGGGCAGGAGGGAAACGGAGGAGGATGAGGGGCTCTGCAAACCCAAAACTCATCAACGACATTGGAATACACATTCCTTCAAAATTCCTTCTTCATCGGCCCCTACACAAAATCATTTCAACTGAAAAAAAGTGCCTCTATGGGACACAACCGTGTGAAAATCCTGGGGCGGGCCAAAACACCATTTTCGGGACGTCAAAGCGACGAATCAACCTGACTGTTGCATATTGACGATCGTGTACCATGCAAAACACCACTATTGGAACTTAAACACCGTGAATCAACATAACTGATGCGCCGTGGCTATCGGGAACCGTTCCAAAACACCGTTTCTGGTACGTTAGCCCTGAGACTCCATAAAACTTTCGCGTCTGCCGAACCGAATGTGCGCGGCGATGGGCGAAAACCGCATTCCGGAAAGGTACCGCCCTCACTCCGTGAAACACTTTGCCACTGTTTGATACGAATGCGCGCGGCACTAATACGAGGGCCACATGTTCAAAGCCACCTGCCCTCAACCCACAAAACTCTTGCAAATGTTTCATACGAATGCGCGTGGCGCCATGGCCAAAGCCGCCTGTTGAAAAACACCCGCTTTCAGTTGCGACACTCTGGCAAATGCTATAACAAATGCGCGCGGCGCTGGGGCGAGAGCAACATGTTGAAAACGACCCACCCTTCATCCATGAAGCTCTCGCAGTTGCTTGAAATGAATGCGCGCGGTACTACAGGCGGGAGCCTCAGGCAAAACGCCCGCCACGCCCTTCCGACTGGCCTCGGGGCGCGACGAGGAAGAGTTACTCGCAAAGACAAGGAATGCAGCGAGCGACCCCTGAGCGGGCCCTTTTCGCCGGGCGGGCGCCCAGGCGGCGCGCAGGCCCTCGCCTGACAGCGGGCTGAATGCGGGGCTCGGCACTAGGAACGACTTACTCGTGCTCGTCGGCGTCGTCGACCATCTGGGTCGGGCCGAAGGCGCCCAAAGTGGGCGGGAACGAAGAATTCCGAAGATCGTGACGTGGTCCATGCAGAGGAACCTTCACAAGAAGCGAGACCCAACTCGAGGTAGCTCGCCACGTCATCGCGCCCGACATCAGGATACACTGGCGAGGGGTGGGCGGGCCCCATGGAACACATTAGCGGCGAGGGGAGCGGACCCCGAATATCCTGCAACCCCCTTCGAGTCAAAACCTCAGCACGCGACGCGTCGAGGAAACTACCGCGACGCAAGTTGGAGAGGACGCGGGGTCTCCAGCCTCTGATATTCTCGCATTGACCGTGCAAGAAGAGCGCGACGCCGCTACAACTCTTCCTCAGAAAGGGCCCGCAGCTCGACTACGGTCTCGCGCTCGCCTCTGTGCAGGGCCCAAAAAGCAAAACAGGAATCCTACGCCAGCGAGCGTAACGCATCGTCGCACTCATCGTTGGCGGCGCGGTCGGGGGCGGTCGAAGAAAGGCTGGTGCAAATAAGAGCGCACCAAAAAGACGCAATCAAATCCATCCAACGCTGAACATCGTCTAGGCACTCATGCTAGCATGGAAAGCACCGGTCCACCGCTTGGAGAACATGACGGCGCCCCCCCGCAGAACGTCGCTGTCGTCGCAGGCCAGGCCCAAAGCGCCCCTCGCTGCTTCCACAAGAAAATTTGGCAAGCCATCACCTTGAAGCACCACGCCACGACGTCTGAGACTGCGGAGTAACGAGGAGGGAATCACCCTCTGAAGCCACTCCACCTCGCAGGACCCCGCCCGCCGAGAAGAAACGAAGGCGAGACCCCGCAGTCGGCCGCGAAGCAAAAAGGTCGGTCGCGAGGAAGCTTCTGCCGTTGGAGTCCGACGCGTCAACGATCATTGCACGCAGGCCCCCCGCGTCATCCTCTTGATTGGCGGCGATCTCCGAAGGTCGGCGCCAGCGCGCAAGACCACCGCGACCAACAGGCCACGTTCACGGCAGAGAGCGCCCAGCAGGATCAGGCAGACTCCGCATTTCTTTGCTAACCCGCTGAACCCCAGAGCACCCGCGCGCCTCGCCGCCCCCCGATTCCAGTTCTCGGCCAAAAGAGCACATGTCTACAATCCTCTTGCTTCGCATCTGCGCATTTCTTGTCGAGACTGACTCACAAGCAAATAGCCGCAATATCTCGGGATGCCACGCAGGATGAGCCGTGAGCCGTGAGTGCGGGATAATAAGATACGACTGTACCGGGGGCATCCCCGCGCGGGAACACGGGTCAATCCGGTCGTCGATGTCCTGTCAGAACTCCCCTTCTGTCACAAAGAACCACAGCATGGCGCGATCCCCCGGGCGCCCCACCACAAGCCGCGCTCTTTGAGCACCAGGGGCACGAAGGCCTTGCGGGTGAGGTTTGCCGAGGAACCGTCGAGAAAGGGGCCAGCTAATGGCGACCCGCAGCGCGCGCCACCTGATTGTCCTCGCCAATCACGCCCCACGCATAACTGCCGTATCAGCGCCTCCAAACTCCACGCCAGGAACCGCCGAGACCCCCGCTCCTCCGCGACATCAATCACCACTTCCTCGGACATGCCCCAGACAGAGGGCGACGCAGGAGAAACTTCGGCTAGTCCATAGAACAAACCGTTTGGCTGAACTGAGAGGCCCCATCAGAATCCGGGAACGATGGGATGCCACTTCTTGCGAGCAGCTGGACAACCTCAGCAGCGACGCCCCGCCCTCAGGAAGCGGCAAAGCATCAAGGACACCACCCTCTGTCCATGTTGGGAGATGTTGCGCCCGCAGCAGCGGCCGGGCGTTGCTGCCCTGCCCCGCGGTCGCAGCACCAGTTGGTGGATCGCCCTCGCCGGCGCCCGTCGGCGACGGGAAACGTCGCTCCACTTGCTCGGCGAGGCGACCGCAATCTGAGGTGGCAGAGCGAATGACGCCACTTTCTTCGACGATCTGCGGCAGGTCGCCCTGGGTGCGCGGCAAGATTGACGCTTGGCAACGGGGCATCTTTCTGCAAAGAAACGTACTCCTCGAAGAACTGCTGTCCAGCCGCTGATGACATGCGCGCGGGGTCAGTCTGCCAGCAGCGCACTACAAGATTCTGACGCGCAAGAGTGCAGGGGCCAAGCTCCGGCCGCTGCGCTCATTGCCTGGCCAAAATCTGGAAGGTAGCTGCCTGGCACGATCGCGAGCCTCAGCGGTCACTTACCAGGCTTCAGCACAAAAGTCCTGGGCAAGCTGCCCGCGGGCGCCAGGGCCAGGGCACGCGCTAGGAGTCGAGAAGGTCCTCGAAGACCGAGTACCTGACGCAGCCATCAGGACGCAGAGTACACCACCTCCTCCAATCCATGAAGCATGAGCCGGCCGCGCGCCCAGCCGCAGGCTCGGTGAAGCGGCGCGTCTTTGGCAAGGACCGGACAGGGCGGGACACGCGGCGACGCGGCGTGACTGCAGGCAGCCCCAGAGACAGCACTACCCAGAGGAGCTGCAGCACTGGCCACCGCGCTAGCGTGGACCGAGGTAAACACGTCATCAACACGAGCTTCATCACCACGCTCAAAGTGGCCGTCGCGAGGCAGGCCGATAACAGCACCACGACCACAAGACGGCGAGGTGCCAGCGGGCGCCGAGCCACCGCCTTGGAGGAAAATCTGATCCGCAAGCTCTGCACCCGTCAAGGACTCGTTTCGTCGAACTGAGGCGCGACGTCGTCAAAAGTCAGCGGTTCCACCCCCCTACATGGATGCGATGGTGCAAACCAGGGCACCTGCAACCATGAACTGGTGATCGGGCAAAATAATTGCGGTCGGTGCCGTGAGGGTCGTTGAAGTACTCGGGGGGCCAGCTGACAGCATCACGACCCACGCGCTGCATGTCGCCACTACGGGCAACAGCATCATCAGAGCCATCCACCGCACCATCGTCAGGCGGGCCCGAACGCTGGGCACCAGACGCCGCTGTACTCGCCAAAGAAACAACGCCAGACTGCGACGCAGGCGGATCAGCAAGCGGCCCAGGAACAGAGAACGGGCCAGGCATGAGATCGGGGGCATCGCCTCCATATTCCTCCGCAGGGGGGGGCAAAGTCAAGCCCGAGAGCCACGCGCGCCGAAATTGCAGCCGAGCTCTTCGTCTCTCATGAATTTGCCCTCGAAAGAAAGTCGCGCACCACCTGCTAGAACGTCGACACCACGGGGCAAAGGCGACCAGCGCCATTCACGCCGAGGTCGTCACGCGCCGAAGAGCAGCTGCCCAGCGATTGAGAGCAGCGCGACCACCATTGCCAGCAGGCCCCACGTCATCGAAGAGCACATCCCCCTCTGAGATATTGCCAGGGAGACGGGGGTGGACGATGCGCCTCTGGATCGAGGGCAGGCCGGTGCACCCGCGGCCTCGCAGCCGCATCGTTCAGAACATCTCTCGCCCCACCTCATGCGCGACAGGTCGGGGGCTCACCCCCTCCGCCGACGCGGATGCTCGCGAGCGCCAATCCTCCGCGCAGCAAGCCCTCCATCATCTTTTCTAAGCCAAGATGCGGGGATCTGTCGTCGCAGCCGCTCCCGCAGGGAAGCCGGGGAGCACCGCCCGACCAAACATGGCTTTTCTGCCCAAGCCCGTCGGCGACCAGGGTCAGGGACACCAACCGACCAAGGCCCAGACGCGAGATCCGACCCTGGCCCGATGCCCTCGCATCGCAACAGGTCCGCCACTTTTTTTATTTCGCGGGTCGAGAGCGAGCCTGCTCCGGT